TCCTTGAGGACCTTCAGGGCGGCCCCACAAGGCCAACATCCTAGACTTCCACATGTTTTTGACGGATTTGGGCGTTTACTTGTTTTCGGCTGTCCAACGGCCCAAGACGGCCCCAGAAGCCACCACGATGGCCCCGAGAGTGCCCAGGAGGCTTCCGAGATGGCTTCCTGAGGGCCCAAAAGGGCCCCCAAACCCCAAGAGGGTTCCAAAACGGTCCAGGATATCTCCAACACGCCCAAGATGGATGGACTCCCAGACGGCCCTGAGGGCTCCCAGCCCATTTCGGCACACCCTTCGCACGTTTCGTGGCCCCATGGGGAGCGCTACCGAAGGCCCTCTGGGAAGGTCCATAAGCCGCTCCATCGGTGATTCGCCCTCCATCCGTGTAGTTGTTGAACAACATCTATATCATCGAAAACGAGCCACCCTCCATCCGTGTAGCGAATAAAATGAATGTGCACGGCGCTTTGGCGATAATGCTATTTTCAAACACGGTCCCCCTCCATCAACATAAGTGGTGGAAACGTTTAAGGCGAATGCGTGCGGCGCTACAGCGACAACCACATTTTGATAAAGATCCGGCCTACAGTGCAACTGTTGGAAGCGTAAAACAAGAATGCGCGGCGCTAAAACGAATACCGCATTTTGAGGACGACCCCTTTCCACCCATGTACCAGCTGGAAAATGTGCGCGGCGCTACGGCGAGAGCTTTTTTGGTTGAAACCGGTCAATGCAACTTCCGTTTAACCGTATGAAACTTTAAAAATGAATTTGCGCGACGCTGAAGCGAGAAACGCGTGTTGCCCTCCCTCCGTCCGTGAAGGTGCTGGAAATTTTAAGCTTGGGTGTCGTAGACGGGGAGATAGTCTCAGGCGAAAAACCGTGCCGCCCTACCAACACCTCTGGTGGTCAGACGAAGAAGAGGTTTTTGGTAAGGAAGAAGGATCAAGGAGGAGGATGAAGTGTTCGGAATTTCTGGGATGCTTCTGGGTCGCCGTCGGCCTTCTTGCATTTTTTGTGTCGTCCCCTCTTCTTCTTCCTCTTCCGCCGTGCATCTCTCCACCTCCTCCTCACATTCGACCGCTGGGCCTCTCCTGATGCGCGCTCTGACCAGAATTTCAAAACAAATCCAGCACTGTCGATGCAGACGCTCAAGGGAGTCCAGGGAACGTATAACATTACCCTGCGACGTCCCTAACCCATCGACACCAAGGGATGACATACTGTGTGCCGATCGTAGTGTGACAGCAACACCGCAAGAAACGGTGAACGGCGGATATCTATACCACGCGAAGTGTGCGTGGCCGACCCGCAGAAACGAGGTACAAAAGGCCAGGAGGCACTGTATTGGGAAGGAGAAGCACAAGAAACAATTTTTGGATCTGCAGGGCGAGAGCGAACCTATTCAATTCCGCTGAAAGCTAAGCGGGACGCGCACAACTTGAATTTGCAGAGAAAGGGCGGAAGAAGGCGGGGCCTCACGCGGCTGGGAGAGGGCGAAGCCCAGGGATCAGGCGGTGCCGAAGTTGACGTGCAGGAGAAGCAAGCAAAATAAAGAAGCAAAAGAAACAATCGGGGTAGAAGAACAATCACTTCGGCAGAAGAAGCGGGATGATGGAGCATGGGCAAGATAAGGTTACACAGGCGCAGGCGCAACATCAGCCCCCCCAGGAGCCCTTGAAAGTGAGGGCTGTTTCACATTTCGCAGCCCAGCAGGAATGGCGAGGTCACGTTTGGATCTGCGTGGGGCCCACATGTGCTGCCCCGCCCAGCAGCCTTGGACAATGGGGACCGTTTCGCACTTCGCACCCCCCCAGGGATGGCGAGGTCCCGTTTGGGTCTGCGTGGGGCCCCACATGTGCTGGCCACCCCGGCAGCCTTCGAAAGTAGCGACAATTTCACACTCCGCAGCCCCCTCCAGGGATGGCGAGGCTCCGTTTGGATCTGCGTGGGAGTCAATGTGCTGGCCCCGCCAGTAGCCCTCGAAAGTAGCGACAATTTCACACTCCGCAGCCCCCTCCAGGGATGGCGAGGCTCCGGTTGGATCTGCGTGGGAGTCAATGTGCTGGCCCCGCCAGTAGCCCTCGAAAGTAGCGACAATTTCACACTCCGCAGCCCCCTCCAGGGATGGCGAGGCTCCGTTTGGATCTGCGTGGGAGTCAATGTGCTGGCCCCGCCAGTAGCCCTCGAAAGTAGCGACAATTTCACACTCCGCAGCCCCTAGCGACATCTGCGTGGGAGTTGTCAGTAGCACGAAAGCAGCCCCCTCCAGGGATGGCAGGCACTTGCAGCGTTCAATGTGCTGGCCCCGCTGCGTGGGAGTCAATGTGCTGGCCCCGCCAGTAGCCCTCGAAAGTAGCGACAATTTCACACTCCGCAGCCCCCTCCAGGGATGGCGAGGCTCCGTTTGGATCTGCGTGGGAGTCAATGTGCTGGCCCCGCCAGTAGCCCTCGAAAGTAGCGACAATTTCACACTCCGCAGCCCCCTCCAGGGATGGCGAGGCTCCGTTTGGATCTGCGTGGGAGTCAATGTGCTGGCCCCGCCAGTAGCCCTCGAAAGTAGCGACAATTTCACACTCCGCAGCCCCCTCCAGGGATGGCGAGGCTCCGTTTGGATCTGCGTGGGAGTCAATGTGCTGGCCCCGCCAGTAGCCCTCGAAAGTAGCGACAATTTCACACTCCGCAGCCCCCTCCAGGGATGGCGAGGCTCCGTTTGGATCTGCGTGGGAGTCAATGTGCTGGCCCCGCCAGTAGCCCTCGAAAGTAGCGACAATTTCACACTCCGCAGCCCCCTCCAGGGATGGCGAGGCTCCGTTTGGATCTGCGTGGGAGTCAATGTGCTGGCCCCGCCAGTAGCCCTCGAAAGTAGCGACAATTTCACACTCCGCAGCCCCCTCCAGGGATGGCGAGGCTCCGTTTGGATCTGCGTGGGAGTCAATGTGCTGGCCCCGCCAGTAGCCCTCGAAAGTAGCGACAATTTCACACTCCGCAGCCCCCTCCAGGGATGGCGAGGCTCCGTTTGGATCTGCGTGGGAGTCAATGTGCTGGCCCCGCCAGTAGCCCTCGAAAGCAACGACAATTTCACACTCCGCAGCCCCCTCCAGGGATGGCGAGGCTCCGTTTGGATCTGCGTGGGAGTCAATGTGCTGGCCCCGCCAGTAGCCCTCGAAAGTGGCAAGCAACAACTTTAAATTTCGCAACCCCCAAGAGGGATGCGAGAGGAGAGAGCCGCGAGGGGAGCGGGGGAGGGGAGGAGAAGGAGAAGGAGGAGAAGGGAGCCGGCGACCCCACTGCTGTATTCAAAACGAGAACCCAACCAAGGGAGGGTTGGGAAAAAAAAGTGCAAATGTCGAGCCGTTCCCACCTCGTCGTCCCCTTCCCCCTCCTCCTCTACCCCCCCCCCTCCTCCTCCTCCGCCTGCTCCTCATCCTCCTCCTCCCGGCCCACGACTACCAGATTCTCTTCGAATAGCAAAGCCTCGCCGCGCGATGCGTCCGAGCCACCCGGGGGTCTGCCTCGCACTCCCCGCTGGACTGCGAGGTGCGAGGCGCCGCCCACCCAGTGCGCCGACGGCGCGGCGCGTACTGTCCGCACGAACAATGCCTACCTAATTTGCAGCAAGGCTTTCATCGCACACACCTGTCGATCGGAAGAAGTAGGTAACCACGTGAAGTAGGAAGGCGGATCAAGTATATTGGGTTCAAGCCCTCCCAGATCATGCCCGAACGGAGCAAAAACATATCCATTCTTGAAGTAGGAAGGCGCTTCAAGTAGATTGGGATCAGGGAATCTAGACATACCTATTTTGAACGACTGGCGGACTGGCGCGTAATTGAGGCTCCATGGGTTCATGCGTACGATGAGCCAGGGCATCGGTAACACATTCTTCCTACATGTATGTGCACAGTTTTTGCCTGACCCGGCACAATGTAGGCACAGAGTGGATACACAAGGCCGCGTGCGGCAAAGCTGATGCACAGACATGATGGCGATCTAGCCAGTACGCATACATGCAACCACGAGGAATATCCGACTGTGATGTATGTACTGGCATCCCATCCATACACGAATGATACACAACGGTGCAGGGTTCTGCAATGCGCAGGCCATAAGGCAAGCATCGTTAAACCGAGCGTGCGACGTACGTGCATCTTCCTCAAGTTACATGTAGTACTGAATTCTGCTGTCGCCCACAGAAGTTCAAGACATGAGACGGACAACGTATGCATGACTCCTTGCCCCTTTCGTTGGGCGCAATGCATGGGAACCGCGCCTTTCCGTCTACTGCATGTTTGGCGAGTTTCCTACGTCGCTGATGCAATGCAACTAGTGATCCATAATGGGCTGCATACTACTTCGCACGCAATTGGCACAGGTGCATGGCTTACGTAGCGCATAGCTTTCGAGAGGCTTCCCAAACACATCCAACACATTTCAGATAGACTTCCGATGAGCTTCTGAAAGGTGTTTGCGAGGCTTCCGACAGGCTTCTGACATGCTCCCGACAGACTGAAGACACAACTGATGCACTATTAGACATACGCGAATCTTTGCGCTTGAACTGCGTCACGCGTTCAAGCAATGTGTGCATCCCTGCGGGGAACGAACTCCGTGCAATTCCGTCAGCTCCCGCCAGGGAACGAACCCGTCTGCTGGGGGACCAACCTCGTCTGCCGGCCGCGGTCCTCGTGGCGCTCAAGAGCCTGGAGCGCCTGCGCCCGATAGAGGTACCTCTTCGTCGTCGTCGTCGTCGTCGTCGTCGTCGTCGTCGTCGTCGGACGGTGGACACATACGTTGAGGAATCTTGGTGTACGAAATCTTGGGGCACATTCTTCTTCGAGATTGGAGCCTCCTGGGGTTCCTCGGGGTCCCCAAAGGCCCCGGGGGGATGAGCAGCTTCCGTGGGGCACCTGCTCGCAAATGGGTTGCATCTTTGATGTGCCCGCTGTACTCCTCCTCCTGCTCCTCCTTCTCCGCTTCCCAGAGGGTCCGGGAGGTTCCTGGAGGCTCTCGAGGGCTCCTGGAGTTCCTCGGGGGCTCTTCGGGCTTGAAGCTTCCCCTCGACGAGGGCACGGCTGCACCAGCTCGTGATTGCGGTAGGTGGCGTTCCCCACGTCCTTGATCACGGCCCGCCAGTCCTGCCCAGGGCTCGACGGCGACATGCCGACGGTGGCTGAAGCGCGCACGCACGCTCCTGCTGCTGCTCCTCCTTCTGCGTCTCCTTCGCCTCGTTCGCGTTTCCTCCTGTTTCTCCTCCTCCTCCTCCTCCTCCTCCTCCTCCTCCTCCTCTTTCTCCACCTCCTCCTCTTCCTCCGTCTCCTCCTCCTCTTCCTCCGTCTCCTTCTCCTCCTTCTCCTCCTCGTCCTCCTCCTCCTCCCTCTCCTCTCCCTCCTCCGCCTGGTCCGTCTTTTCCGCTTCCGTCGCCTCCTCCGCCGACTCCTCCTTCTCATCGTGCACCCGGTCCGACCTTCCTCGTGCTCCTCTGCCTCCCCTGATGCCTCTTCCAGCTGGCGGGCAGCCTCTGCGAGCACAGGAGGCATCCTGGCGCGTCGCCGCGCGCTCGTTCGGCGAGACGGCACAGCGACCTTACGCCGCGGCCTACGCGGGCCGCCAGCGCGGCACCCCGCACTGGAGACGAGGGCGCTAACGCGCGACCTTGCGCGGGAAGCTTCCGCATCAATGTCGGTGCAGACGACCCTGTTTTGTTGCGTCGCTCACGTGGAGGTGGGCAACGCGTGGCCTCGCCGCCAGTGGACGGCTGGCGTCTCTCCAGTGCGCCGTGCGGAATCTCACAGGTCAACGGCCTCACCGCCTGGCTCCGTCGTCCGAGTGGCCACCGCGACAGCAGCGCCAATGGTGGCCCATGCGCCGTGTGAGCGGAGGCGCCGCGTGCGTGGGCTGCACGAGCCTGTTTCCGCCACGGCCAGCCGGCAACCTTTGCACGGCGTGTCGCGGCAGCGGCCCCAGCGACACGCTGAGCCTTGCGGCTCGAGAGCGCGTCGCTCGGCCCCCCCCCGGGGTGGGAGGCGCTGAAACCTGGGGGCTGTGAAATGGACAGCGTGTCGCGCCGAAGCGTGGTGGGCCAGAGCCGGCGGCGCGGCACGCTGTCCCAAAGTTTTCGACCGTACATATACGTCGTTCATTTCTAATCGTGCTCATTTCTAGTAGTGCTCGTTTCTGATGGTTCCTGGCCCCCTGGTAGCCAGGAAGAGGCCCAGTATAGAAGGATTCGGAATGAGAGGGTCTTAGCCCCAACACATCGAAGAACTCTCGAAGAATCAGGCACGAAAGGATCTTGGCCCCCAGCAGAAGCAAGGAGCTCTCGAACCATTAGAAAAGAACAGTGTGCACACAATGCGAGGAGAGAGGATCGGAGGCGGGCCCGTCGGGACATCGGCGGCCCTCCCCGGCGACCTGCGTCCCTCGTGGGCAGGGGCCTCCGGGGGCCGACGGCAAGGCTTCTGGCACATCGGGCCAGGCTGGGCAGCCGCCGTTGCCTCGCCTGGCCCTGCTCTGGGAGGAGGGCGAGGGAAAGGGCGGGAGTAAGGGGGGGGGCACTGGGACGAGAACGAAGTCATGATGCAAACGGCTTGGGCTGCGCTGCAGGAGCTCGATGGGCCTCTGGTGGCCCTCGTCTCTGGAGCCCGTGCAGAGCAATGGGACATCAGGGGAACACGGGGAATCTGGTAATCTCGGAAATCACCATTCTCATGGCTCCTCGCTCCTCTGAGGGACGGGGGGTAGGAGGGGAGACGAGGGGGGGAGGAGGGGGTAGGCGGGGGAAGCGGAAACAACATGAGAACAAGGAAAACGAGGATTCGTGGCCGGGCCGTCCCTGCCTTCCGTCCACTACGCTGTGCTCTGTGGTGCTTCTCTTTCCTGTGTTGTGCGGACGGGTCGCGCCATTCGGGGCCTCCAGCCTGCGGGGGGAGGGGGATGAAAGGGAAGGTTTCGTTGGAATTTCTGGAAACGGTCCACACGTGTTGTGCCCGAGTCAGCAGGGGGCCAGCGCTGGACCTGACCACCGCTGGACCCCCAGAGGGGGAGGACGGGGAGGACGCAGAGGATAATCTGTGCGGTGGTATGCTGCTATCGCGTCTTTCATGCTCTGGCTGGCCGTGGATGTTAGCAGCGATGCTGGTGCTACTTGACCTTGGTCGTGATGCCGATGAGGGAATCAAGCAATGTTCATTTAAGTGGAGGCTAACCACCGCCATCTTGCTCTTTATCTTCCCGCTGATCTGCAATTGCTGCTCCACCTGGTTGTTCATCCCAATTCCCTCATCGTCTTTCAGCTTGCCGACCGGTATTATAAAACACGAATGCGCTGTCTGAGAATCGAACCGTTGAAAACTCACCACTCCGCTAATGACCGCGTTAACTTTAAGCATATACAAAATAAAGTTGTTCTACGCCGAGAGGTGCTCTCTTATTGAGCCAGTGCCCACTGCCGTCGGCAGCGCATTGGTAGTTGAGCTTGACATTTGCTGTGTCTGTTGA